ATACATACTTTTTGCACAAGTTTTTTCTCTAGAGAATATGCTTATTTCGCCAATTCGATCAAATAAATCTGTGTTCAAAACAATTGAAACATTAGAGACCTTTAATTTCCTTCTTTGTTTTGCAAAGAAAGTTCCGGCGCACAACCCTTTTTTAGGTCAAAGGTATATACAATCTGAGTGCAAAAATGTCACAATACCTAAACCCAAGCCGAAAGAAATTCGATTTTATGCCGACTGGAATTAATTTAGTGCGGGTGAATTGACTCAGACACCGTTCTTTTTTCCAGCCTCCGAAGGAAATTAACACGCATTTCTATCCTACATTGTAAAATTTATGCATTTGGTTCTGTTCCTTAGGTGAAGTTCCGGGTCCAGATCAACGCCTTTCTACTGCCGTCATAACAAGTCACCCATGACCAAGAGGCGAGCTGATCCAAATCTTTTAGCCGTTTCGAATTGATTCAGACGCCGTACTTAACATGAATTTAACTCATTTGAATTCCATTCAATTCATGTGAAGTACGTCATCTGAACTGGGCCTAAGAAAGCAAGCCGACTATTATGACCCATTACCTATTTTTTTGTGCTTAAGAGTTAAAGGGTTATGGAATTTACTTGGTTTTTAGCCTCAAGCTCAAGTTATATCGCTTTGAAACGATTATCTTTTAAGATCCCTACGTACTAGCACTGTATAATGACTGAAACGAGGGTTGGAATAATTTTACTCCCGTTTTGTCCAAATTCCTGTCCGTGCCTTTAGGCGAGGGAACTTATTAGAATTTGGGCAAAACGCAAGTGAAATTATTCCCTAATTAACAATTACTCCACGAGTGTGCGTTGGATATCAGATGGTAGATTGCCAACGAGGAGCGTAGTGCCGAGTTGGCTATAATCATCTCATATCCAACAAGCGCGAGTGGAATAATTGTTTCATTTAGAACGTCCACAAAATATCGAGAATTGTTCCCGACGTAATTTGTAAAACTAGCCGATTTTCAGCTGTTGTTTTTAATTTTGAGCAGAGTACACAGTACAGTTATCATAATTGGAGAGCATGGTATACATACCTCTTATTAGCCGAGTTTTCGGTCCGCACTGTAAATTACAGACAGAGTTTTTTCCATCGATGGAAAAAAACGAGGATCCATAATTTACAGTACAGACCGAAAAAACGAGGCTAAGAAGATGTTTATTATTTGGCTTCTTCCAGTTTGGGGGACCGGAAACAAGTGCAGGACGCGCGACTTGACAATCATTTGACAGGCATCAAGAAAGAAAGTTTTTATTGGCTCACGAAAACAATAGCACACAACAAAGGGTTTCCGAGAAAGGGAAAACAAATATTCGCCGTGTTGAAAAAGTTTATTTGGTCAAAACTAAGAGCGCTGTAAGTTTTAGCTCTTTAATGTAACGCTGGAGTATTTTGGAAAATCGGGCACTGTGTCTTTCTCGAAGTCGTTTCTATCTTTCCTCCGTTGGTCCTTGTGAAAAAAAAAAAACACTGCAAAAGGCAAAGAAGCTTTTCAAGGTAAGTTTGTTGTCATTGTCGAAGGATTTGCTCGTTAATTTTTTTTGGAAAAACCTCTCGATTTTCTGCCAGTTCATTCTCGTTTTCAAGTGTGATCTGCGTGCGATTCAGTTTCCACATCAGCTTCGTTCTCATTCAAACCAAGCTAGGTTAAAATCTGAAAGGCAAAGTCCACATCCCAGTTCTCATGGTTTACAGACATATTTTTTAAGTATA